GCTTTAGGTTCCTCATGTGGAAAATGAGGAAGTAAGACCAGGTGACCTTCAACGCTTGGAAGACTACAATTCAAACAATAATACTGTCCTGTTGTAGTTCAGTAATTTTCAGACTTATTTAGCAGCAGTTAGCCTTCTCTGAAAGACCTTTCATGCAGAAACACAACGTATTAGTCAGGATGTTTGGTTGCAGGGGTCTAACTCAAGTTACTTATCTGAAGAGAATTTACTAGTTAATTTAACTACACTCTGTGCAGTTGGACCCCAAGGACGACTGGAACCTGACACTGGTGCACCACCAGGACTCACTCTCTACACTTCTCATCTCTGTGTGATGGATTCACTCTACACAAGGCAGAATGTAGCTGCTGGCTACTCTCAAGGCTTCCTTTTTCTTTCCTTCTTTCTTGCCTCAGACTACCACTATGGTGAACTAGCCCTTCTTCCCTTAGTTCTATCTGAAAACATTCTGAGGAAGAAGTCTGCTTGCTTTTGCTTGAGTCATATGTCCACCCTGTAGTCAAGAAGTTGGGGGACTCTCTTGAGCTGCAACTGCCACTAGAATCACCTGTTTATAGTACAGAGAGGAACAGTTTCCCCGAAGAAAAGGAGCATGGTTCATGGAACCATGAAAATGAAAAAAGGAAAATTCTAATGCAGTCAATTTAGATGGTCAATATGTAAAACAGAGGCTTTCTAGTTGAGATCCACCTATCTGGTCCTCTCTGTGTACCCTAGGTGGCTTCTGAAGCATAACTCTGAAGGCCCCATGAAGATCACTGGAGTACAACATTAAAATCCTTGATTTTATTGATTGGCTAGTATGCCAGGTGCCTCCAAATCCTCGAAAAATTGTAGCGCTAGATATTTATTTGTGGTGGTGGTACTTACCTTCTAGAACATTTTTGGAATGTAGGGAAGTACTGGAAAGAATGGTGCTGATGTAGATGGGGTTGGAGTGGAGATTCTGAATGTTCTCAAGGGACTGGAGACTGGGAGTGTAGAAAGAAGAGGCAGGAGGACACCAAAATGAACTTTGCCTACTTTGTCATTTTATCTAGGATAAGCATACCATATGGCACACTATTAAAAATGGTGGAAAATGTTTACCTTTGGCCAAGAGAGTGGAATTGTCCTTGGTGTCATCCACAGTCATTCTAGAGAAAGGAACAAATGGGATGTTGATGGAAACAGAGAGTTGATGGACTGGAAGAGGGGTGGAGGCAATGAGCAAAGGCACCTTTCTAGGATGAATATACCCATGGTATATTGGTACCTCAAAAAATATTAGAAATGGGGATAGAGGGGCAGAGAGGAAGAGGAATAAGATGAGTAAAGATGGGAAGTTGGAGAGGAATGTAGTTCAGTAAAAGGTAGAATATGTCATTGGAATATAGTTTGGAGACCCTGTCAGGAGGTCTGGGAAGCGAAAATTCAAGATCATATTGATTAATACCTATTTAAAAGTTGTGCTAATGAATGTCAGGTAAATTACACTTAATTATTATTATTATTATTTTTTGCGGTACGTGGGCCTCTCACTGTTGCGGCCTCTCCCGTTGCGGAGCACAGGCTCCGGACGCGCAGGCTCAGCGGCCATGGCTCACGGGCCCAGCCGCTCTGCGGTATGTGGGATCCTCCCGGACCGGGGCACGAACTCGTGTCCCCTGCATTGGCAGGCGGACTCTCAACCACTGTGCCACCAGAGAAGCCCTTAATTATTTTATTAATTATACATTACTAAATAATTTAAATGTAACACTTTTTTTGAAAAGCTTTGTAGCTATTAGTATAAAAGTGTGTACTAAAATCAGTAAAATCAAATTTGTTTCTCTATAAAATAGTAATAAAGTTCTTAAATTACAAAATTTAAATCTTTGCCTTTTGAGCAAGCTGCTCAACAGAATTTCAGAAAACAGACAAAGGAACACAGTTACAAGGGATCTTATAAGTCTAGCTACCTGTGCTACCAACAGAAAAAACATGGAGAGATCAGATTTACTCAGATAAAATATTAATTGCTAATTTGGAAAAGACGCAGGTGGTCACTAGAACATCAAGTACTTTTTTTTTTTTGAGAAGTAATGAAACAATTCTGTAATAATGCAAATAAACATAAGTGTTTTCAGAACAAGTTGTACCTACACAGCGCTGCTATTAAACCATTTTGTTCAAAAAGACCTTACATAAGCCAGAAGTTTTTACTTGGATAAATCGCTTCTTTAAAGAGATATTTTCTTATTGAGTTATTTTATTTTAAAAATTTTTTTTCAGTATATGCCTCCTTCTCTTTCAGTTCCCTAAAAATGCAATGTTCAAAATCAGCTCTTTACTTTTTTTCTATACTTTCTCTTTCATAGAATTGTTTTCTTTTTTACTCTTAATTTAAACATTGCAATATCTGTCAAACATGAAAAAGTCCCATGAAATAATCTATCAAAATCAAGTTATTATTCTGTTGCAAACTTTGATCTACTATAAAACTACTTTTTAAAAATGGCTTAAGTGCTACTCTTTTGTTATTGGAATGTCTTTGAATTGGAGTCTTATGAGGGAGTTTTAAAAATATCAGCAAAGACTTAATTTCTCAGCATTTGTACAGGGCCAACTATTTAAAAATTATTATTTCTTTAACGTCAATCTCCTTGCAAATGAGAAAAATAACAAGCTATTTTTTGATGATATGGTTATACTCATTAATATATGAAAATATTCCTTTCCTGTTTTTAGTGAGTCAATCTATTTTCTATGGTGTAAAGAGAACAACCCAGAGAGTAGAGATTATTTAAACTTAACCTGCATTCAACTGACCTTTTTATAATAAAATCCACTATTCTTAACTCTGAATGTCACAATTATAATTATTCAATGGATTGTGACGCATTTAGTACTTAAAATTTAAAGGCCAACAATGAACATGGCCTATATAAGCATGAGCTTCAGGACCAACAAACCGCACCGTTTATTCGTGCTTCTTTAACATCCACAGAGGCTCTCTCCTCCTTCCTCACCCCAGTCACTACGGCTACTCGGCCTGTGAGATTGGCAGGTATCACGTGGCTCAAGTGAAATTGCTAGCGCCATCAGCTTTATCCTCCTGGGCATCATTGTGACTATTAATTTTGTGTTACCTTTCATACTTTCGTTTCTGGTTTGTTCTCTGAGAATTTCCTGTTTATGGGTCTGTTTCCCCTACAACGGCTGTGAGCTACTTAAGAATAGGGACTACATATGCTTATTTTTGTGCCTCTGATGCTAAATACAATGTCTGGAGTATAATACACCCTCCAGAGATGTTTGTTTATGGTATATGGATGAATAGCTAGGAATCTATATACCTACAGGTATTTGAAGAAGCTTAAATCTGTGAGGATATCCCATCATCTGATTTATATATTTCAGGTGTTTATTTTCCTCTTTCCTTCAACATTTGGTAGTATTTCTCCGTGGGGCAAGTGTTTCTGCGCCAAGGAGAAATGCCGTGGCAAGATGCCACTGGGGCAGGTTTCCTATTCTGGGCTCCTGCAGTGACTTGTTTGGCTTTGCTGCTTACAAAGCCAAAGGTGATTATTCATTATATGTGAGCCTAGAATCAAGATAGTTAGGAATAAGTGGGACTTCTTCTAGGATTATGGCCATTTTCAGATCCATTGCAGAAGCTGGTAAGGGGGTGATATTGCTAGGGAGGAAAATGGAAACTTAACGGAGCGGGGCGGCGGTGGGGGGGGACGGGGAAACAAAGTAGCCTGCGGTCTTCTATGTCTTGAGGGGCTCCAATTACTCACTCACACTTCCGGGTGACAATGATGAAAATGATGCAACTGTTCTTCTGGTGGACTCTTTCAATAACTTATCAGTTCTGGCTAAATGATGATTTGCATTTTTACCGCAACTTTCCCCCCCAAGAGATGAAGGCCTTTCACGTTCAATAATAGGGCCTAAGATTAACTGCAACCAACACCACGTGCTTGGTGTGCTAAACAACACCCCTGTGGGGAGGGGGTGGAAATCCTGAACACTGCTAATATACCCTTGACCAACACTGGTAAGTACGCAGGCCCGGGGCATGCGTTGGGAAAGAGATTATGCAAAACTGCAACAGCAGTATTCTGCCTCTAGAGCTGGTATAATTTGTTTTTGGACTGCTCGTGGTAAAAGCCGAAGCTGACCCACGAAAACAAAATTAAACCCCATAAACTTAAGATGTCAAGGCCACATTCGCCAAGTAAACATTACTATTCCTAGTTTACATTTTGTCGTTTTCATTCTGTAACTGGCACGGCCAAACAACTGTACTTCTACCGTGAGAGGGGAGTCTCAGAAAATAAACAGGACGGGATTATCGTAAAGCGTCACAGGTTCTTTTAGGTACCCCTTGCTATGTAACTTACAGGCGTTACACGTTAAAAAAAAAAATTAAACCACTGAAGGTGTCAGGAAACATTTTCTTCCTTCAGGTCACTTCCTTCACCTCACCTGCCGTCCCATTCGCCACTCAGACCAGCGCTGGTCTTCGCGGTCAGGCCGCCTCCGGCGAGCGGGCAGTAAACAGCGCCAAGTCCGGGCACGAACACCGGGGGAGGCGGGATCACCAGTGTCTTCCCGCCACCCCCCATAGCTTTGCGGCTGTGGCTTTTTGATAACCTACCGGCCTCTCCGGCTCTGCTCGTCACTCAAGCCAAGAAAAGCGAGTAAGGAAACAGCAAGGGTAAAGGAGAAAATGGGTAAGAGAGCTGGCAGCCGCGCGCGCACGCGTACCACGACCCAACGCGGCGCCCCGGGGGTGGGGCCAAGGCGCGACGCTGGAGCCCCGCCTCCTCCCCCTCACCCCACCCCTCCGCGCCTGGGAGTGACTGACTCTCGCCAGCCCCTCCACGTCAATCAACCCTCCTCCTTCTCGCACTCTCTGCACCTTCTTATTAATCTCAATACCGATAGCGCGCGGACGCCTCTCCCCCGGCCCTCGGGGGTGTGAACGTGTGTGAGCGAGAGCGGTGGCACCAAAAGCTGGCGTCTCTGTGCAGCAGCCTCGGCTCCAGCAGCAGCAGGCGCAGCAGCAACCCCCGCAGCGGCGGCAGCCCCGGCGCCAGGAGGCCAAGGCCAAGGCCAGGCTCTGTGCGGCTCTCCGAGTAATAGCCGCGGCTCCGGCGGCTGCGGGGGCGCAGCTTCCTCCAGCAGGGCCCTTCGCGTCGGCGGCCGCGGCCGCGGGGCCTCTCCTGCGCGCCCAGGGTCACCGTCCCCGAAGCCCGGCGGCGCGGCCCCCTCCCAGCCCCCCATCCGTCTCCTTCTCGCTCCCCTCAGCCGTCCTCCTCGCCGCCGCCTCTGCCGTTTCTCGGCGGCCCGGCCCGGCCCGCCCGCCCCGCGTCCCCTCCGGCCGGTGCCTCTTCCCCCGGCGGGCTGCCTGCATGTCTTTGCTGCCCTCAGCCCCGCCGCCACCGCCGCCGCCGCCTCCCCCGCCGCCGCAACACCAGCACCAGCAGCAGCCGCCCCGCCGCCGCCGCCGCCGTCGCCGCCCGGACCCCGGCGCGCTGAATGCAGGTGAGGAGGGGGCGCAGGCCCTCGGCGACCCCAGGCCCGGGCGCCCTGCGCGCCCGCCCGCAAGCCGGGATCCGGGCCCTGCCCGCCGCCGCCGCCGCCGCGGATTCCCTCCGGGGCGGGCGGTAGCGAGGCCCGCCAGTGGGTGTTTGTGTTTGCGTCTGCGGCCGCGGCTCCGGAGGGGAAGCATCTGTGGGGGCCTGGCGCGCGCGCGCGCGCGCGCGCGTGTTTGTGTGTGTGTGTTTCCCCTGCCGCGGGGAAATGGCTGCTGTTGCTCCTTCTGGGCCAGAGGAAGAGAATGAGGTAGAGTGTTTTTGTGCCTCCGAGTAGGATCGAGAGTGTTGGGAAGAGGAGCGCGTCCCCGGGGAAATGAGGTGGGAGAAGGACAGATGTGCCTGGGGGTGTGCGAGTTGGGACTTCGGCGGGCGGGGAGGCGGCCTGAGGACCCACAGCGAGTGGGTGTGTGTCGGGTGCGGGGATGACCCGCGTCTCTGTCTGAAGCGGCGAAGGTTCCGGGGTGTGCGTGCGTGTGTGTGTTTGGGGGGGGTGGTCCGCGCCCAGGGCCCGGGACTCTGGGGGCGGGTTCCGTGTGTTTGGGACCCCCGAGTGGCGTGTCCCTCCCCCTTTGTGGCCGAGGCTCAGGAGCCTCGCAGGTGAGAGCTGCTCCGCGGGGGCCGGAGAGGGTGAGTGTGTGTTCCGCACACACACAGCAGCGGGGCCCGGGAGTTGTGGGTCGGGGCCGCGCCGCCGTTCCCGGGGCCGCGGCAGGAAGCGCGCCGGCCTGCAGCGCGGCCTAACCGCCTCGGCGTCCGCCCGCCCGCCGGCCTGCCTCTCACCAGCCTCCCCGGACGCCTCCCGGGGCGCCGGGCCCGCGCGGGCCCAGGGCGCTGCCTAGGGCCTGGGCAGGTGAGGGTCGGAGGCGGGACGCACCGATCGCCGTCGCCTTGGCCGCCCCCACATCTCCTGAGGAGAGGCGAAGGCATATTTCGGCGTTCCGACCGCAAGCTCTACCCCCTGGCCGGCGGTGGGACCCGAGGGAAAGTGAATCAAAGCAGTAAATCTCGAGAAGACGCGGTGTCGAGATCCCTTCTTTTCATCCTTTCCTTAAGGCTGTGTGGAGGGCCTGAGTACATATTTTCAGCTCTTTTTTCGTTGCAAATACTTTTTTCGTTGATAATACTTACGCATTTTTTTTTTTAAAGATACAATTTTTCTCGGAGGGGCGGGGGAAGAAATGGAAGCTGGCTTCCCTGCCCTATGGTGTTGGTAGGATTGGATGGATTTCGTGCATTTGAAGTTGTTTTATCCTGCCTCCTAGGGGGAAAGGGGTGTACACGCCGAGCTGAGGAGGTCGGTGAGGAAGAGGAAGTTACTGGAGCTGTCATCCTCCTTAGCACAGCTGACTCTTCAGCTTAGGCTGTTTAGATGCATTGTGTTCAGGGAGTTTAGCTGAGCCTTTTGTACACATGGGAAGCACAGTACTATATTTTAGGAGATACTACCTTATTGCCTCTAGTTATCTTAGTTGTCAGTCAAGATAGTCACGTATAAACAGGTTTTCCCTCACAGTATCCGAAACCTAGATCAGGCAGCCTGTGTGGTCTACTCCAAGTGTGTGCTCTTCGAAGGCTATTTTGAGAGTAGTTTAAGCAGAACGCAACTGTAGAGGTAAATCTGCTGTCAGTAGGCATACAGTGCATTTCAGAACCAAATATAAATGGTATTTGAATGATTATTTGCTCTTTACTTTATCTACTCCACCCTCTATTTGCGTCTAGTTAGCTCATCTAGCTAAAACCCTATGGATGAAGTCGTCATACAGATTCCATCCTTGCAGGCCATGCTCTGTGTAATGGTCAGAGATTGCTCCTTTCTGAACCTGGTCTCACAAAGAAATGTTTCCTGCTGTTCACTGGGAAGTGAGCAGAAGAGCAGGAGGGGTGGAGAGCTGTTTTCTATGAACAGTACTGGAAAAACAACACATGTTGTTCAGTGGAAAAAGGACTTGTTTTAGGGACCTCAAAACTCTGGCTATGCCACTTTTCTTGGCTGTTTTACCTTAGGCAAGGTACCTAATGTCTGTAAGTCTGTTTTCTCATAGGTAACAAGGGGATAAGACGTTTATAGTAAGGTTGTCTTGAGGATAAATTGAAAAAACATATGTTTGGCACATAATAGCTGCTTAGTTAAATACTAGTTCTTCCTCTTGCAGACCTGACTGTAGGCATTGAAAAACATGTATAAGTACAAATACTTACTGGATTACTGAGAGAAATATTATGTCACCTTAAGTTAAAAATCAAGACAACAGAACATTTGAGTCCTTTGATATGCATAAAGTATATATAAACAATGTTAAATGTATTTTAGAAGTCCTTTTTCCTTGAACTGACTGTCATTAAAATAGCCTAGTGTACCAGTTTATAGAGACTATCTAGTCATACTTGATTTGTTTTCATATTTTCGAATAGGCCATCTTTCAGTTTCATTACTGTTTTTGTGAGTTCTTGCTATGTAGCCCTGGAAAAAATTGTTTAAGCTATATATAGCACATATATGTTCCAATACAATCAAACATCAAAAAGGATCAAGGACCTAGAGTTTATTTATATAGATCCACAAACTATAAGTGCCATAGAATTGCTATGTAATTGTTTTAGTTCATGTTGACTGATTCTGGAGAAAACAAAACAAAAACTTTTGGAATATTTTCCTGAGTGGAAGCAAAAATCTTCTATCAACTTTCGGTAATTTTCCATTTTTATTATTCTGTGTGGAGTGGTAAGTGGGCTGTTCATTTAATTTTAATTGTATTGTGCTGGAAAAAATAATGGTATGGAGTTTAAGGTAAAGACAACAGAAAGGTTAAATAAAGCGTTTTTTCTTTTTCTCTTTTTTTTTTTTTTGGGTGATGGCAGGGTGAAGATGATGTGGGAGGAGTTTCATTGGTTTAAGTTTGCAATGTCTCTGTTTACTAACACCAGGTTTCCTTAGGCCTTATATCATTATTATTTATATCAGCAATGTTAAGCTTAAAAAATAAACCTAGTAAAGCACTAAAATTTCAACACATTTTTGAAGTATTTTTGTGAAGGATAGGAGGGAGAACTTTATTAGAATGCAAAATGTCATGGTTTTGTTAAAGTGTATCTGTTATGGGTGTATGTGCATTTACAGTGAACAGAATTATCTGCCATATGGTTATATTGAAAGGAAGAATTCTTAATTTAAAAACTATGTGATAATTTTTAATACTTTAAAAACAATAAAATGGAAGTGAATTTTGCCCTTAACTAGGTATTTGGTAATTTTCATTAGACATTATGAACTATGGTATTTTAAAACACTTTGTAATTTTTTTTAAATTGGGAGAATTGAGGAGGACATTTTTCTGTAATAATCATGAAAACAGGTGATACTGAAATAATATGTTAAGATATGTGAAGAGTGAAATTTATTACTAACAGTGGACTCCTCTTGCTATCATTTTAAAGTAATTACAGTAAAATCAAGGTGGAAAATTGTTTAGGTTTTAAAATTTAATGTTACTTAAGTGGCCTTTTAAACAGTCTTTCCAAAATATCCCTTATAAATGTCTTTAATTAGGAGGAATTGAAATACCTAAGGTTTATGCATGTTTTACTTTGGGTAATGCTAATTAGGGTAATAAATATACTCCAGAATTTCAGTGGCTTAACACATGTAGGTTTGTATTTTGCTCACATAACAGTCCAGTGCAGGTGCTCCTTGTTAGCAGGCTTGTGGCTTACCTCCATGTGGTAATTGAGGAACCCAGACGCCTTACATCTTATGTCTCCACCATTCCCTGGAGCCTTGGAGCCCTGCCCGTTACCCACAGGACATTTCTTAAGAACCCCCAAAGACAAACATCTGCCCACATTTCATTGGTGATAATTTGTCACAGAGTCTTATTTGAATGCAAGGGGGATGGGAATGTAGTCCCTGGGTGGTGGACAACTTGGGGCATTTCATGATGTTATTTTAGATGGTAGCATATATTTGTGAAATTATGTCTGAAAGGTAAATTATAATACTAAAAATTGCTTTCCATCTTCAAAGCGTAAAATTGTGTGAAGGGGTGGGGAGTAGTGGGAAGAGAAGGGAAGGAATAAGAGCCACAGGAGGAGAAGAAGGACATTTCTTCCAAGGTAGGTTTGAATGACAAGTAAACGTCAGCAGCTATTTAAAGATACAGATTTTACAAAGACCGTTACAATTGGATTTTATAACCTTTAGTGGGTCTCTTCTTTGCCATCCAGTTATTGCTTGCCGTTGTGGTCTACTGGGTTCTGGCTGTTTGAGTTATTTCTCTTTGTACTTTGAAATCAGTTGACTTTGAATTTCAGTTTCTGAGGTATAGTTTCATGGGAAACATATTTTTAAATTTTCTTTTTTCTGTTGGGATAGAGCATTACTATTATTATTGTTTTAAAATATCATTTAGATGGACCTTACTGTGTTTTAGTGTTTTCTGTTGCTGTTTTTTGTAATTCTAAAGTCATTATAATTAATATTTGTGAGGCTTAACCCAGAAAGAACAATAAAATCATCAAGTAAACAACAAAGGCTCAATTATTAACTTGTGTTCATGTTTCATAATGAAAATACTACAACCTTCTTTGACCACCTGCACTAATACTGAACCATAATACATTAATTTTATTTCTGGACTTTAATTTTAATTGAATTGCAACTTAGACTCTTTTACTGCCTAGGATTATTGTAAAGTGAAACCTCAGCTCTGGGTATACTTTTATTTGTCTTTATTCTGAACAGTTTGGTTAGGAATCTGGGGAGTTTTATATATGTCTGTATTCTCCAAATGAAAGATTTTTGAGTAGTCTGGCTAACTTCTCCATGTTAAGTATCTCTAATGTTTTGCATTTTGAGCCTCTTCTGTACCCATTATTATACTTCGTTCTAAAAAGAAAGTAGAAGAGACCCTTGTGAAGCTTATAGCTTATGAATAAGGTAAATAAAGC